TCCCTCCGCCCCTCCCCACTTCCCAGGCCGACCTCACCGACCTGACCTCCCTTCCCGCCACCCTGGTCGGCGTCAGCGCGATCATCGACTGCGCCACCGCGCGGCCCGAGGAGTCGACGCAGAAGGTGGACTGGGAGGGCAAGGTCGCGCTCATCCAGTGCGCGCAGGCCATGGGCATCCAGCGCTACGTGTTCTTCAGCATCTTCAACTGCGACAAGCACCCCGAGGTGCCGCTCATGAACATCAAGGCGTGCACGGAGGACTTCCTGGCGAGCAGCGGGCTGAACTACACGACGCTGCGGCTGTGCGGGTTCATGCAGGTGGGGTGGCCTTGATGCGCAGCAACTGCATAGCTCGAGCTGAAATTTTAGCTACAAAGATTGTTTCGAAATCTCGCAGCAGGGGGGTGCTGCCCAGCTAGCAGCTCTCCATTTTCGCCGCATGGCGGCGAGCGCGCCGACGGATGCGATGCGTAGTGATTTCGTGTTCGTCAGCGTGGCTGACTGTGCAGCAGGGTGTCAGCAGAGCACCTGTCGGGCGGCGGTGGTTGGTGCGACAGGTGGACGCCTGCGCTGCGGCCTTGTGAGACGGCTGAGGTGCGCAGCTGGCGGCGCGTGGGTCTGGGCCGGCGAGCTGACTTGGAGCCTCCCTTCCCTGCGGCCCCAGGCTGTGATTGGCAACTACGCCGTGCCCATCCTGGAGGACCGGCCCGTGTGGGGCACCAACGATGAGACGCGCACGGCCTACCTGGACACCCAGGTCAGTGCCAGGGCACCAGGCGCAGTGTTCTTCGAAGGGGGAGCAGTTGCAGGGCAGCGCTTGCGGCCGGGGCTGGCATGGGGCGGAGGGAGGGGCGTTCCGGCATCTTATTTTGGGGCCCGTTGTCAAGGGCTCGTGCGTGGGTGGCATCGGCATGGTTTTGGTCGGCGCCTGCATCGGTTGATAAGAGCAGCTCGAACATGCGTGCGGCCCCCTCCGCGCATGCGCTCCACCTGCGTGCCCACCTTTGACCGCTGCCGCCCCGCCGCCCCCATGCGCCCCCCAGGACGTTGCGCGCATGACGATGGCGGCGCTGCGCAGCGAGGAGTGCAGCGGGCGGACGCTGACGCTGGCTGGGCCCCGGGCGTACACCACCAAGGAGGTCATTGAGCTGTGCGAGGACATGAGCGACAGCAAGGTGGGGGGGGCGGGGCGCCAGGAGGAGTGTGCGCGTGCGATTTGTTGTGTGCGTGTGTGTACGTGCGTGTGCATGCATGTGTGTGTGTGCGTGTGTGTGGGAGGGGGTTGTCTTGATGTGTGTTTGCGCGGGTCACTACTCAATCGAGCGTGCAGGAGAGGGAGAGAGAGAGAGAGTGTGTGTGTGTACGCGTGTGTGTGTGTGTGAGTGTGTGTGTGTGTGCGCGCGTGCGTGCGTGCGTGCGTGCGAGGAAGGCACAGGCAGCCCTTTGAGGGCTCCGCAATGCAAGGCAGTGGCCTTCACAACTGGCCGCAGCCGTCGGATGGAACCCGTGCCACCCCGGCCCACAGCGGTCGAGCCGACGGCGCTCAAGCGCAGGCGGTGTGCCTGTGCTGTGCCCCATCCGCGACAATCGCGAGGGCCGTCCCTGATTCGTCGCCCGCGCACCCCTCGAACCGCCTTCTCTGCTGTGCCGCAGGCCCAGATCAACACCGTGCCCACCTGGCTGCTGAAGGGCACGCGCAACGTGCTCAAGGGCGCACAGTGGGCCAAGGACGCGGCGGACCGCCTGGTGGGTGCCCTGTGTGTGTGTGTGTGTGGGGGGGGGGGTGTTTCGATGGCGCGCGCCCGTGAGGTGTCACGCGCTGCA